CCCACCCCCCCCACCCCACCCCACCCCACCCCGCCCCACCCCCGCCACCTCGCCACCGACTCCTCTCCCCGTCTTTCCTTTGCAAGGATCCTTATAGTTTCACTGGGCCCATCCGAAGACTCCCTCAATATCCTAATCTATGCCGCCGCATCTTTGCCAAGTCCCTCTGGACAATGAGGTCATTCATGAGTCCTGCTGAAGACGTGGGCGTCCTTGAGCAGGCACTGTTCCTCCTACCACACCGCCCATTATTAACGAGTCAGATCCCCCTAAACTTAGCATTACTCTTCTGAAATGCAAACATCATCTGCTTCTCTTTACACCACCAGGCTCAGGAGACAGGTGCGTGCATGAGGGCCCTCAGGTAAATGCAATGGTAAAAAACTCTTCTTTTGTCTCGAGGTTTCTCCCCGTATTCATAAAATACTGCCAAGTTATCAGTTTGCAAGTAAAGTAAAATCTCTGGCCCTCCACAGTTTCTAGTTACCATGAGTTTTCAGATTTGGGTATCTGCCCGATATTTTCTAGAAAATGAATGAAATAAGCCTGTCAGGGTAAACAACAGAATTTGTTGCAATGGGAAAACTTCAAACTTTCAAATGAAAATCAGAATTTTGGATAATCTCAGTCAGTCACCATGACTCCAGCAGCCTCCCAGTACATAATGGCTTTTCTGCTGAGAGTGATAATGATATCAGCAAGTATGATTGCCTAATGCTGGATAACAACATTTGGAAGAAGAACGTAAGTCAGTGAATTCAGTATTTTCCACAGGACAATGCATTACAAGATGACTGAAAGGTATAGGATCCATCTGAACCATGAAATACAGCATTGGGTTTCCACGGGACCCGTTAAAATTTTTTGGTAGCACTGTAGACTCCAAACTGTGGAGTCCTTGGTGCTTTTTAAGGAGTTTTAAGAATAAAATGAAGTAACATTTAGATAACTTCTTAGGCCTGAGAAATTAAGAACTGCCGCCCTCAGGTGTAAATAAGGACACACACACAAGAAGATGGCAGGAATAAAAACATAATCTAAGAAGAATTTGTACCTTACAAATGATCTGGCAAATCCAATTTTAGGGGAAATGCCCTGGCACTACGTGGGACAACAGGACCAACCACTTCCTTCTTGGTCAACTATAACTCATAAGTAAGTTATATTTATTTTTTAAGTGACTGGCATTCCCAAGCCAGGATAATCCAAATAGGAGGTGAGGAAAAATGAATCCTAAGCATTTCCCCTTGCTCTTCTTCACTGCTCTGATTAAACCATCTGGAACAGTGATATAATCCCTCATTTAATACTCAGAAATCCTTTACAGGCAGGTATAATGAACAGTCCCGGTGATGAGCAATTTTAAGAAGTCTGTCCATGTACAAGAACCAAAGATATGGACAAATGAAAATGAATTATCATTATGACCTATCACATTCTGAAGAGTAAGTTCTTCTGAAAGTGGTAATTGAGCTCTGGTAGGCAATAATATATGGACAAAATAACTTAGTAGGAGTTACCACAAATACTCCCTGCTGGCAGGCAAAGCATCTGGGAGAAGAAATATAAGTGCTAAATACAGGGATGAAGAAATCTAATTTTCTGCAGCACTGAAGAAGCCAAAATTGACCAAAATAGTTTGGCAAACGGTCTGTTATGAAAAGGGTCTTATAGAGTTTCTAGTTTTATAATCTCCATGCTAGTAGTATACATACTAGTAGATTCCTTATAGACGAATTCTAAAATGATAGTATATTAGACTGAGTACTTTGCCTTTTAAAACAATCACAGAGGGTTACATATTTCAGATTTCATACCTGTGGCTGTTTTGTCTATAAAACTACGATGAGCTAAAAACCACATCTAGCTCTAACTATATATAATTCAATGACTATTTGTACTCTGAGAGATACAGGTACAAATCTGTATTGATACTGGCAGCCAAAATAATCAGGAATCCAAAGATTTTAACGTCCACTGAAATATGCTTGGACCTGACCTATTTTGCAGAGTGGCAGGGGTTGAGTCACACAACTAGCATCTTTAAAGCCAGACAGTCCTAAAATATAAGATGGTCCTCTACTTTTATGGGTTAGCTAAGTGCATCATCTGTGTCCCAATTTTCTGAAGCCACCTTTCTCCAGCTCCATGTGGACCAATCATCATGCCATTTTGAAACATCAATGCTTTTTTCATTTGTCCTACTTTCCCAGACCACTTTAGCGTTTGTTAACACACAATTGTGGACTTTCTTCAACAGAACTTAAAAATGGGTCTCTCTACTTCACACTTTAAACAATGGTCAACCTGTAATTTACCTAAGTTACACTTTGAGGTGCTTTTTCCGAGAATTCCAGTGCACCCATACCTCCAAATCTGTATCCAACGTCCACGTGGGGCTCAAATGAGTGAAACCACAGGTATGAAGCCTAGACGGTTCACAATCCACCTGGTCTCTAGATCTCACGAGATTTCTTGACACTTCCTAATCACATCCTACCCTTAATTAAATTTATTTTCATTTAGTAAAACTATTACTCATTTACTTGCCACCAATATTTGCTCACACTCAGCAAGAAGGTTTTGCCCGTTATACCCTTAACAACTGGGGATTGTGCTAATAAGAGAGAGCATGAGACATATGGAACAGATAATGGTCTTAGAGCCAAAAGAGCCCAATATTTTCACATATCACTTACCACGTCCTGTGCAGCCATGGTGAGAGCTAAACACTTGTTACCTCATCTGTAAACTGGATGGACAGTACCTACCTTATAGAGTTGTGAGAAAATTTGCTATGATGAATATAAACTGCTGGCCCACGGCAGAACTACTGTAATAATTTGTGAATGAGGAATTCTGTAAGATGCATGCTATGTTAGCTTCTTATTACTGTTGTTAACAAGTTACTATCAACCTAATGCATTAAAAATTCACATTTATCATCTTACAGTTATGAAGATCAGAAGCTCTCAGGCCTCCTTCTCGAGGCTCTCAAGGAGATGGTTTTCACACCTTTTCCAAGTTCTAGAGACCACTCCTTTCTCCACCTTCAAAGTCTGCAGCAGATTCTTCAGATCTCTCTCTGATACCTGCCCACATCTCCTTCTCTGAGTCTCACACTCCTGTTTTCCCATTATAAGGGTGCATGTGTTTACACTGAGCCCACCTACCCAAATAATCCAGAACAATCTCCCCATCTCAGCACACCACTTAATCATAAGTGGGAAGTTCCTTCTGCAGGATAATATACCCACAGGTTTCAGAAATTTTTTTCTCTTACCACATGTTAACACAACAACATTTCTTAAAGAAGAAATGATGTTCTATGGCATAAATTCTAGAAGCTATTATTCCCCACCACACCAGTCTACCTTATAGAAGTAGAAAAAATGTCATCATAACAAGTAAATATTGCTTATAGCAGGTTAAGCGGTGGAAAGTGGGAAGACGGGAGGGGCATTCTGGAAACAGAATTAAAATCAATTCCCAAGACCATAAACATTAACAAAAGTATTGTGGTAGCACAGGGAGACCACATTGGTTATCTGGTAAATCTTTTCCATCAAAGAGCAGAATTTACACAGTCGTAACTACCAACATAAATTCAACTAGGTCATGGATAAAACCACAAAACTATAATCTCTGGGTCTGAATGGATACTAAAGGTCACCTAGTATCTATATCTACTCTCTTTAGTGCTGCTGAATACTAACATTAAATTGGTATATGCTTTAGATGTTTTAAATACAGTCACACCCATCTGATTATCTGAAAGTTACTTACAATCATATTGGGACCATGGGGAAAAGGAGACGTAAGAAGAAAAAGGAGGAGAAGGAATTTATTTGGGACATTACTTTAAACTCTACTTTACATAAACAACAAGCGTCCCTGAAGCAAGGTCTGTCATTTGCACTATCAATTATACAATTATGTATCAATTCTAGATAGTCTACAGATAACTCTAGACAATCACAATTGTATACTAACTATAGATAATTCATTAGGAGCTATTTCACCTAACCAAGTTTAAAAAAACAAAAAACAAAAAACAAAAAACATTAACTAAGTGTGTTATCTGGATACCACTGCTTTACAAAATTAAGCTTATGCAAGAGGGAGGGACATGACTGAAAATAATGAGGCAGGTTTTCCATAAACCCATTCCTCCACTAAGGCAATGATTAAGCTCCCCAAAACTGTCCAAATACACTTTTTTTTTTTTTTTTTTTTTTTTTTTTTTTTTAAGTCTGGAATATAAAAAAAACAACCACCAGGGGGGGGCTAAACGAAGAAAGCAGCTACTGCATATCTGTAAGAGGACAGCGTGACTTTATAATTACCTGCCTAACATACACTAACCACAGCTGGAAAGCGGCTAGCATTCCTGGTGTGGTTTGCTGGTGGCAGAGTGGCTAATAGAAACCTTGTTCTTAAGAGCACTGATGATGGGTTTTGACCCATACAGTGGCTCCAAAGGAGCCTTTATTTTGCTACTCTCAAAACGAACTCCCTTGGGCTGGTATAGCCTCCGAGTGCCAGAGTTGTAGTTAACAGCCACAGCCACCATTCCGGGCTAAGAATAACAGGTAAGGCAAACAACCTAAAAATGAGAAGGTTGGAGAAGAAAGGTAGATGGAACAGAGCTTTCAAAAGGCTCCAGGTATACCAGGGAAATCCAGAAGACCAGACATATGTAAGAGCAGGATATGCTCAGAAAAGACCTTAAAGATCCTAAGGTTTTACATCCTGCTATGTTCAAGGAGGAAGTATGCGCTAAGGCAAGTTTTAAATGGCCTAGTCAAGCGTTAACGGAGTTCCCTAAATGAAACCCACTTGTAAAGACTGAGTTTGGTTTTTGTTTTTGTCACTCCCAGCTTTCAAGGAAGTTATCTTTCATATCATTATCTAAAACAGATGACTTCCAAGACCATACAAAGTATATATTATTTTCGCAAAACAGCTCTCCATAAAGAAACCATAAAAAGTTAACTGAACAAACAACTATAATCTATCACAAGCAGCAAGAACCCTAGCTAGTGGGGGAAAGATTCTGGTATCCACAGTTCAGTACTCACAACTGCACATTTCTTACTCACTGCCTTCTCTTGACCAAAGTTCAGTCAACCTTCTTTCCATTCCACAGACCCCTAATTTCAGGCTTACCCATGAGTAAGCACTAAAACACAGATTATTCCCCCTATTAAGAAGTCACCCCAAGTAAGAGCTGAGACACACAGCCCATCATGCCATATGCTCACTTTCTTTGCTTGCTCATTTCCCCTGAAAAAGTTTTTACTAATCTTGCTTATCCTCCCAATAAAAGAAAAACCACTCTCTGACTGAGATACTTTCAGATTTCTACAATCAGAATGTTCTCCATATTGCACCGGTCTCTTTAAATAAGGTGTCTTCTTACCAAATCAGAATTTGTTTTTGTTTGATAGTAACATTCGCCACATTTAGTTGCCAACAAAAAACTATAATGTGTGCAAAGAAACACGGAACTATGGGCAAATCACAGGAATAAAACAAAGTAAGAGAAAATGTCCCTTAGGAAACCTTGGTGTTGAACTAATTACATGCATGTTTTGAATTACCTGCTGGTGTAAATATGTTACTGAGAAAGTTTTAAAAATAATAAAATGTACGGGGTGCTTGGGTGGCTCAGTCAGTCGAGCGGCCAGCTTCAGCTCAGGTCATGAACTCAGGTCATGGGTTCAAGCCCCGCGTCAGGTTCTGGGCTGACTCCTCGGTGTCTGGAGCGTGCTTCAGATTCTGAGTCTCCTTCTCTCTGCCTCTCCCCTGCTCATGGTCTGTCTGTCTGTCTGTCTGTCTGTCTGTCTCTCTCTCTCTCTCAAAAATAAACATAAAAAAAATAAAATAAAATTTATATGGACAAAGTGAGAAATCGGGAAAACAATGTATGTACAAAATAACAGCATCAGTAAATAAAAGTCAAAAAAAGAACCACAAACAGAAATTCCAGACCCGAAAAGTACAGTAACTGAAATGAAAAACTCATGAAAAAGAGATCCAACAGCAGAGTTTTTAGCAGGCAGTAAAATCAGTAAACTGGAAGTCAGGTCAACTGAAATGGTACAGTGTGAGAAACTGTATGAAAAAGTGTGAGAAAGAAGAATGAAAAGAATCAACATGCTTAAGAGAACTGTAGGCATACCAGCATACACATGATGGGAGTTAATGAGGAAGTGAATACAGAAGAGCAGAAAAAAATATTTGAAGAAAATAACAGCCACTACGAGACAATAAAAAGTGAAAAAATTTCTCGTATCTGATAAGAACTATTAATCTACACATACAAGGAGCTCAACAAACTTAAGATACGATAAATTCAAAGTCTGTCCTTCAAAACAAAAGAGGGCATTAAACATCTCCAGACAAACAAAAGCTGGGGGGATGGTGACAAATGGTAAGTGGAGTAATTGTGTTTGTCGATCATTTCATAATGTATTAATATGTTGAATCAGTATGCTGTATGCCTGAAAATAATATAATATTGTACATCAACCACACTTCAATAAAAGTAAATAAAATGATAAATTCAAAGCAAAAGAGAAGGAGAAAATACTTTATTACCAGACCCACACTACAAAAAATGAAAATGAAGATCAGATTTGAGACATTTGAAAATGAGACAGAGGGGCGCCTGGGTGGCGCAGTCGGTTGGGCGGCCGACTTCAGCCAGGTCACGATCTCGCGGTCCGGGAGTTCGAGCCCCGCGTCAGGCTCTGGGCTGATGGCTCAGAGCCTGGAGCCTGTTTCCGATTCTGTGTCTCCCTCTCTCTCTGCCCCTCCCCCGTTCATGCTCTGTCTCTCTCTGTCCCAAAAATAAATAAACGTTAAAAAAAATTTTTTTTAATAAATAAATAAATAAAACTGACCAATATACACAAAAAGAAAGGAGGAAAAAAAAATTCTACACTACAAAAAAAACACAAACACAGAAGAAAAGGCAGTAACAGAAGGAAAAAAGACTCCTACCAAACAAATAAAAAATTAGCAGAAGTAAATTCATCCCGGTTAGTAATTACGTTCAATGTAAATGGAGTAAACTCTCTAATTAAGGGGCCAAGTACGACACATGGATTTTAAAAATGAATAGTCCGGGGCGCCTGGGTGGCGCAGGCGGTTGAGCGTCCGACTTCAGCCAGGTCACGATCTCGCGGTCCGTGAGTTCGAGCCCCATGTCGGGCTCTGGGCTGATAGCTCGGAGCCTGGAGCCTGGAGCCTGTTTCCGATTCTGTGTCTCCCTCTCTCTCTGCCCCTCCCCCGTTCATGCTCTGTCTCTCTCTGTCCCAAGAATAAATAAACGTTGAAAAAAAAATTAAAAAAAAAAAATGAATAGTCCAACTAACCGTTTTCTACAATAGACTCAGATACAAGGACACAAACAGTATGAAAATGAAAGCATGGGGAAAGGATACTTCATAAAAGCAGTAACTAAAGGAAAGGTAGAGGGGCAATGCTAAAATGAGAATCGGCTTTAAGGCAAAACTTGTTACAAAAGGCAAAAGCATCATATTTTCAAAAAAATGTCAATCCACAAAAATTAACAATTACAACTTTACATACATCTAACAGAACCCCAAAATATATAAGCACTAATAAACACAACAAGGGAAAAACAGGTAATTCTGTAATAACAGAACCCAATCAAAGCCATCGTCTTAACAGAGGAACAAGGGAGTCACTTGGGTTTTAACTGCCCCAATATTTAAAAAATAACCGAATAATTACACATTATTTCTGCTTCCTGAAAATATAGGGGAGAAAAGAGGAAAAGAGGTTTACCTTGAGAAGTATTTTTTTTTCCAAGCCAGTGAGAAAATTTAAAAATTAAAGAATGTACCTAAAGGTGACTTCTGCAGATAGCAGATGTTCACCCAACCTGAAATTAAAAAAAAAGAAAAGAAAAGAAAAAAGAAAGAGAGAGAGAGAGAGAGAGAGAGAAAGAGAG